CACAAGACAGCAAAGCGGTCAAAGTTGGAGGTCTTCGCTCTTAGGTTAGAGGCCGTCGAAGGCAGGTTGGGGGCCATCGCTAGTAGGTGACAAGAAGCACAAGACAAACAAGACATCAAAACAGCAAAGCAGCAAAAGTTGGGGGTCCATTCTAGTGGGTGGAGGCCAAAGTTCAAGTTAAAGAACCCCTTACAAAGTTTGGAGGCCTACCTGCAACCTATAGGGTAGCCTTAGAGGAAAACAGAAGGAAAGGCACCGACACACAAGTGTGTCGAGTACCATTTCCTCCTGTTTTCCTAAATAGGGGAACAGGTACGGAAGTTTGCGTCCAAACTTCCATCCAGTCGATTTCCATAGCTTCATTGGCGTGACTAGGAAATCGACCGTCACGCCCCCTGTTCCAAACCTTAAGGTTCCCTATGATTCCAAGGGTTACACACACACATGAACACGTTTAAATATGCCCATTTACAAATAGCCTCCTCGTGTTCCTGCCCAATAGCGGTCTTGGCATTTGCTACCAGTAGCTTAGGGGCGTGAAAAGTGGAGATGTGTGGGGAAAGCAAGGATGCTGGAGATGAGATATGAAAACCATGCCAAGTCGCGAAAGAAGAACAAACTGGTTCTGGGAGGGTTTCGGTCGAAATGCATGACTTGGACTCTCAGCTCTCAAAAAGAGTTTCTGGTGGGGGTGGGACAAAGAGTTGTCGCTGCCCCACTGGGCCGTACCGTTGCAAAGGTCCAGAATCGAACCGCAGGCCTCTGCGTTCTCAACCGCATCCACAAGGGTGTCCTAATCCGGCTCCAAGCTATTGGGTTTGCACAGGTTTCGCTCTCAACATCTCTCAACAGTTTTGCTCATAACGACTACTAGCATCTTGAACATCAAACCGGCGCGTGTGCGTGGCTTTGCAATTCCAATTGTAGCATTGCTGCAGGGGGGTCCATATTTGACAGAAACCACGTTGAGGACATCTAAAGAACTTCTCATATGCATCAAACATCACAGCTGCAGATCTCCTGTGTCTTTGAAGCTCTATCCTGAAGCTCACCAGCGGTGTTCTCCTGGAATTCACACGGAAGCCAAGCAAATTCAGAAACCATGAGCTGTGGTAAATTCATCTCAAACAATGTCACATGATCACAGGTATGTCAAATGTACAACAAACTTGAAGCCGGAGACACCAAAGCCCTTCATGTTCGACTAGCTTGGCCTGGCCATATCTGAAAATCTTTGATAGAGCTGAATTCCAAAGCAACCTGTCCCCAAGTCTTCCCGCGGTCCCTGCCAAATGGCGAGATCTTGTTGGAGCTCACCTTGCACCCAGAGTTTCCTTGTTCCAACCCCATCAAGATCGTCCAAAATGAACGGCACGAAAACGATGCTTGTGTGGCGGCCTTTGGAGCTGTCGCCTCTGGCTCTTCGTGGTTCCTAGGCAGTCCATGTGGTCTTTTCCACACAACAATCAATCGGGACCGTGGCCTTGAGCATTGGATAGCTTGGAGAAAAACAAAAAAGTTATCCAAGCACAATCTGCTCATCAAGAACCTTGCCGCTCCAATTGGGAAGTCACTCTGCTGAGACAAACTCACTGTCACTTCTGTCTGTGCTCTTTTCTCTTCAGCTCAGCCTGATTGATCAACTCCCTGCTAACCAAGTATCTCTGTGGTCAAAGCCACTATTGTGGGCGCAAGCCATGCCAGCACAAGCGCCTGGAAAACGAATGTAACATTTGGATTCAATGCTTCCACCTTCCAACACCGTGCTCCATCTGTGTTCGGTTCATCTTATGACTTCTATTGTCATTTGGGTGAGTGTGATGGATTTGGTTGTCAGCGGTTTCAGTGGTCAGGGCATATCAACTGTAAAGGAGTATCCTTGGGAGAGTGTTTGATGGCGCATGCTAGCTGCTAGCTTCAGCCATGCGAATGGAATCCCAATCGACAATTCGACAATACCAGCCAGGATCGTATTTGGTCTTGCAATCTTGCAAAACATGATAAAACGTCTGGCCAGCTGTCTACCAGGACAGAATGCAACAAGCAACTCTAGCGATCTCTAGACACATTCCATGCCACGTCGTCAAGGGCCTGAAGCAACCGAGCCATGCCAAGGAAGGCGACGCTTCGTTGATGGAATTGGCTGACAGATCCCGCTTGCACGCATGAAGTGTCGCTTGCACATGCCCGTCTTGCAATGCCATGCAATTTTTAGGTGTGACTTACATATCAGCTGCCAGGGTTCTTGCTCTTCTTCCGAAATAGATTCCGATAGGTTCAAAAGCCTTACATTCTCCTCCTCTGTCTATCTAATTCTATCTATATATCTCATCTGCATGAGCGCTTTCTCCAATGCCACCTGCAAAGTTGTTCCGCAACTGGCCACACACACACACACCCCACTGGTCTCCCATTTGGGACAAAGTTCTATTTTGATACAGCCTGAAAACTAGCTTGGAAATATCTGTTGTCTCTCAATGGAGGCCCTATATGAAGCTGCAAAGATTTCTTCGCGCTCAGTGAAATGACCTGAGATTGAGGATTCCACGAGCGGCACCAATTTGAGGAATGGCTTTTCTGACTTACACATCTCCATACAATTCATCTTGAGAAAATGCCGAGACCTTCCAGGTGATGATGCAAGCGATAGTGGCACTGAACTGTGGAGTTTCCAAAGCTAGATTAAAGAAACCATATTTGTAATAAAACAATATAAAACATGTCTCTTTCCTCTCCCCCACTCTCTCTCAAAACACTCACTCACTCTCTCTCTCTCTCTCTGTCTGAGCTCATCGCGTCAGCTTGTCCGTTTGCACCGGTGCCTCATCCTCATGCAAATGGCTCAATGGGTTCTCGCGACCTTGATGGCTCACGGTGTTCTTGAACAATGGCGGCACAAAGGCAGGTGCTGCATGCAAGGTTTGCACGGTCAACATGGGTGAACTCATCTAGTGGTTTTCATGAAGTGCTGTTGGAAGCCCTCTGTGTCTTGTCGAATAAGTTTCAATTAGTATCAACTGGCATATGGTATACAAGTATCTAAATGATTCTAAATGCACGGTTTCTATCCGAGTTGATTCCTAGACCCCCCAAAGTTCTCTAACTTCATCTCAAGCGACTTATGCTGGTGCCGAGGCTTTCGATAGGGTAGCACAGGTCTAACTTATGGGTTTTTTACTTCTTCCATATTGTCAAGCAATTGATAGCAATTGCATGCAGCTATGAGACGATAGTGATGAGCGTCATTGTAGGCATCAATAGAGGATGTCTCCAAGCGCGCGATGGTGTCAAACTCCTGAAAGATGCAACTCATTTGACCCTCAAACCTGCAGGCACCCAAACTCTTTGCTGGAATTGCTCCGTCTTGTTCCTCCTAGACAAACCTCCTCTTGACAGATTCGTCTGGATTGATTCAGCTTTTATTGTTGCTGTCTTGCCCTTTCTGAAGCATTCCGGTTGTCATTCTTGCTTGATGAACCCAATCTCAGACTTTCCCATGTGGCATGTTGTTCAACGGCACGTAACGGTGTAACTGCTAGCCACAGCTCAAGCAGTGGCGTGTCTGGGCTATGCTATGTTCATGGAGTTGTGGAGTTGCCTTGATGGTTGCCGCCCGCAGCCGAGTCAGCGCACGGAACACCGCACGCTTGATTTCGGCCACCTGGCGATCGAAAGTGCGAATTGTTCCAATGCACCCAAGCACTTTGGTGAGCTGGCGGGGTGGAGTGGGTGGTTTCAATTTATATGGTTTCAGTCCCATTTCAATGAACTTCAATCAGTGGACTCCTGTCAACATGACCTTCATTTCTTTTTTTTCTATCTCTCTCTCTCTCTCTATCTCTCTATCTTTCGTTTTTATCATTTAAGCCTCCGCGTTCTCAACCGCATCCACAAGGGTGTCCTCACAGATTTAACAGTGTGCCTTTAGACTCATACATCTTTATACATACACATCCAGCATGGCCTTCAGGGTGTAGTATTCATATGTACAGCGGATACATGTTGAAACCATCTTGAGGACATATAGAATCTAAAGAGCTGCAAAGACTCGTGTTCCAAATATGCATCAATCATCACAGCTGCAGGTCCTGTGTCTTTGAAGCTCTATCCTGAAGCTCACCAGCGGTGTTCTCCTGAAATTCCAACGGGATTCAAACAAATTCAGAAAAAGGGCACACTCTATGGACTGCATTGAATTCCATGACCTACGCAAACACTGTTAAATTCCGATCTGTCAGAAGCAAACCCATGCCCAAGGCTTTCCGCGGTCCCTGCCAAAAGGCGAGATCTTGTTGGAGCTCACCTTGCACTCACCGATTTCCTTGTTCCCTTCAAACATCTTCAAACAGCTTTTCTGCAGATAAGAGGGATTGCACTCTCAAGATCGGGATCATGTGGTATGTTGAGAAACACCACCACACTGTATGAAACCAGGTCAGGAAGGAGCGTTCTGAAAAGCCAGGTCATGCTGATGCTCACAATTCGCTTGCGACAGACCAACACAGCACACTGATGACTGGAGGAATCGGGTACGTCCACGGGCCTTTGGAGCTGCCCCTTCTGGCTCTTCACGGTTCCTTGGCGGTCGATGCCCGAAACGGAAGAACCCCTGTGCTCTTTCCACACAACAAATCAATGGGGACCTTGGATGACTTGGAGCATTGGATAGCTTGGAGAAAGAACACGTTGTTGGATAACGGGCGACGACACGCACTCCCAGTCTGCTCGCAATCTGGTCGTCAAGAAGTTTGCTGCTCCAGATTGGGCGCCATTTGGGTTGGAGAGGACATTACTCTACCAAATAGACTCCTCTCCGCTTTTTCCTCTGCACCTGACAGCCTCCCTGAGCCCTGTTGGCCCAATATATCCTTGCCAACCAAGCATCTCTGTGGTCAAAGCTGCTATTATAGGCGCAAACCATATCAGCACAAGCGCCTCGAAACCAGGTGTTGGCAAATTGGAATCAACATGCATCAAAACTCTTCAATACTTTCGATGTATTGATGCATGCATTCTCCGTTTGTTCAGCTGACTGCTTGCAGCACTTGTGTGAGTCAAACATTTGGTGGGCTCTCTGGTTTTCGTTACATCCTATAAAATAGGACAAGCACCCGTGGGTGAGTATCCAGTGGTGCACAGTTCGCCCATCATCCGGGATTTTGTATAAGATTGCAGTCTGTTGTGCAGTCAAAGTCAAGTGCCGCTGGCCTGAAACAAGCGAGCCATGACAAGGAAGGCAGCGCTTCGTTGATGGGATTGGCTTGAGTTCAGAACAGCACCAATTACAGTAGGTTGTACAGCTGGACACTGCTGGTTCTCCGCCAACAGCATCTCACAAGCAACTGGGCAGCTCCTCCACTAACGAGCGCCAAGCACACTGTAGCGCCTTTTTCTTCAGTTCAATCAGCGGAGCCAAATGTGTCAATGCAGCACTGTGAACAAACAGCCTAATTACGTATTGACTTGTTCCCTCTACAAACATCTACAAACCCTGTCTGCCGTCACTGCCACCAGTGACGGTAGTATGGGCCCTCCGCCTCATCATGTAGGCGATGTTCTTGTCAGCAGCACGACCCTCCATCTTGACTTGCCGAAGCTCATGGTGTCCATGTGGATGGCAGAGGCGCCCATGACACTGGAGATCTGCTTGCACAAGTTGCGCCTATACGTCCATGATTTCTGAAGACTTCAACTTTACAAATTCCTCCGATCCCACAGCAATCTCGCTTCTCAATGCTCCGACGTTTGAGTCCCGACTTGGATCTCAGATCTTTTGCTGTTAGGACCTGGAAGAGACTGACCAGATCTGACCAGAAAACACACTCGGACAGGTCTCGTCTTTCAAACTCTACTCTCTTCAAATGGTTCCCGGCTCAACAGGCTCAACTGTTCCTAAAATGCACTGCACAGGAATGCACATGCTATTGCGCACTGCGTTCGCCGATGCAAAATAGGCACCGCGTTTTCATCCGTTGGGGGCAAACAGCACGCGCAGCATCAGTGACCGGATGGTTCTTGAGCGACCAGCTGTTGATGAATACAATGGCCTTTGAGCTCATCACGAGATTAGAAGGGGTGGTTCTCTACGATCGAATTTCCATATTTGCAGTTGTCTGCCCTGTCCTTGATGAGGCCATGAGCTTATCTTTGACCAGGAAGGCACAATTCTGAGAAAAAGGACAGAACAGGGCAGGACGTGCTTGCCTAAGGCAATCATCACGTTTGGGTCATCCGCAGTGATGTTGGCAGAGAAGAGTTTGGAGCTTCCGTCTCCTGCCTTGTTGCATGTAGAATGCCCTCATGGCCTGGCCAAATCAGCATGCACTCATTCATTTGGCAAAGACTCTGGTTGCCCTGGGGCTCATCATTCTTGATGAAGTCACCACCCTGCCAGAAGAAGTAAAATGCCTCACCGAAAGGCTGCAATCCAAGCTTTGGCTTGATGAGGGTGCCGACCACCAAACCACAGTTGGTCGTGCTGCGGCCGAGGATTCGCCACAGCACGTTCACAACAATCTTCATCTCCTCATTGTCGGGATCAATGTAGGACACCAGGGCATCCACGGACTTGGTGAAGTCATCACTGGTGCAAATGTTCGCATTGGTCGTAGAATTGCTTGCGGATTTGGACTCTGAAGGACCTGAAGGAACTTGGCCTGTCACAACAGGTTGCAGTCTCCATCTACTTCGTAGGTCTGCGTCTACTCCCAGCTCGAGGTCCTTCATTGATCTGAACCTGCACGCGACTGGGCAATCTACTGTGGTCTCTCACAGTGCTTGAAAGGATTTTTCGTTTCAGCGATGGCCTCCAACCTAAAGGATTTGTCAGGACACTTGTGTTTTCACTTGAATCCTACACTCCGATACAATGAAGCATGCTGCTGACTGAACTCTCCAATTTCTTGGGTTCTCAACGAGCCTATGACCGAGCTCCATTTCAGCCCGAATTTGAAGAATGCTCCTAATAACGATGCCAGGAGCCCCTAGTAGCGTCCTTGCTCCTAGTAGAAAGGCCAGGAGCCTCTAGTAGCGTCCTTGCTCCTAGTAGGCCCTTTCCCAGCCTTTAACTCCTCTACCTTTCGCCCTCGAAGCTCTTGGAAGGATCGATACCTTAGGCAATCTACATGGCCCCTTGTGTCACAGGTGTCACGGTGCAGTCCAAGTTGCTGCTTGTAGACATCTTCCACAAGTCCCTTGACGAGGTCTACCTGAACCACAACATACCACAACAATTCTTGTGGCCTCCATACGGGGCCCCAAAGGAAACTCACCTCCCATATTGAGAAACAATTTCTGTCTATCCTTAGAAAGCAGCAGCTGTTGCCTTTGCCCAAGTGATAATCATATTTTTCATTATTTCTATACAATAGGTGGACAATGCACACGTAAGCAGTTGTATAACTGTATAGCCAACCTTCCACTTAACTTTCGCTGCAGGCTGGTGGTCATAATGAAACCTATGCACCAACTGCATTCAAGCTCAAGTGCCCTCAAAAGTAAAAGTGCACGGCAAAACCGGTCTATGTCTCGAATGTCTTCTGACCAAACTAGAAACATCATCCGAATGTGCAAAGAACCTCTGTAAGACAATCCCAGGCCGCCCAGGCACTGCTTCTCCATGCTTTCTTTGATCCTTGCTGCTGATGCAAAGCATCATGGGATCGCTCGACTCACGCCGACGCGGCCCTTCCTGCGGAGCTTCCGACTCGGCGCTTCGCTGAAAAACTGCTCAGCAGGAATGCAGGAAGAGCGTCCTTGCTCCTAGTAGTAAGGCCAGGAGCCCCTACAAAGAATGCTGGAAGGAACTTGCCCAATTGGTTCCATGCAGATCATGTGCTCACGTCTTTCCGAGAGAGTCCTTAAAGCCTGAGCCGCGCCCCCGCAGCCGCAGCTTGCAGTCCGTGCGTGCGGCAATGATCTTCCTACAGACATTGGACTGGGCTTGTGAAATATCTCCAACAATCAAACAGCTGTTCTACAAAGCCCTTCGGCTTGGTTAAAGGCAAAGCTCTTCAACCCCAATAGCTTCAAGCTCCCAAGTCGTGCGTCTGCCAAGTCACACATGATGCCCCCGTGTGCCCAGCAAGCGCTGCTTCACATTGAATTCTTGGTCCTGGATTTGTTGTGCTTAAAACCTCTGATGCCTTCCTGAAGAATTGGGTCCTTGACTTGCGTACGACTTCCGGCTCATGAGAAAACAAAGTGTGTTTGGTCAGGCAATCACACTTCAGACCTGGACTGTTCCATCCCTATGCCCTCATTGAAACCATAGTCCTGCTCAATGCCAATTATGAACTGACACTGCAGCTTGAATGCTGGCTCCAGGTCTTTTGCTGTTCCAGCCTGCAGTCGTATTCTTTGGTGCTAGGATTTCAATACCCGAAGCAGAGGTACAATGACACCACCCAGCCTTCTCTTTCACCCTGAGCGATGGTGGTCTTTTGTGATTGCCTTCGCAACGAAGGAAAAGGCCCAAGCTCTCGAGGTGAGATGTATAAGGAAACATATCGTAGCAGCCTGAGAGTCCGCAGTCCAGGATGTCCAACACGCCCAAAAGCAGCTCAAATCGCACAAAGCAGTTCAACACTCAAATCGGACAAGGAACCCAACTTCTTCAACGAGAAAGCTCCGCCAGGAAGATCACTGTCCATGAGCCTCTGAGCATCTGTCATAAAGCTCTCATGACCACCTGGGTGCGGTGGTCAAATAGGGCCCGGGATTAGTTACATGCATTATCCGCAGGAAGAAGCAGCACAACAGCATCTGAGAATCATCGAATACCCTCCCCCAAAAGAGACGTTCACGAAAAGCTTTTCAACCGCCAACGTCCTTGTAAACACCATGAAGCAACCCTGGACAAACTAGTGACGTGCAAGTAGAAAACTGTTGTTACATCAACCCAGCAATTTGAGCTACAATACCTCGGTAATTACCTCATTTTGGCCGTATTTTCATAACTGAAGCCAAGGCTCAGCTCATGTAAATGACCTTGTCAATGCGGCAGAACACTCACAACAATGCAACACCCTTTTCTCTGACACATACACCTTGGCACCTTTGCGCTAATTGTTTGCGGTCCAACTCTATCAGTAGTCTTAACACTTGCATATTTGATGCCAACAAAAAACTGAAACATGTGGACTGACTGTGGAGATAACATGAGATAACAAATATGTTGAACGTGTGCTGTATTGTTTGAAATCCAGTGACAGTCTACCCCCAACGCAACAATCCCTGTCCCCCGCTTCCACCATGTATGACAAGCAACTACTTGCACTTTGGAATTACAAATAGCTGCTGCTTGCTCCTTCAGCAAGTTGAGAAGTATAGAATATAGGGCAATAAAGTTGCGAACCCCCCACCCGCATGCATCCATAAATGCCTTAACATGTTGGGGAACTTTAGTGATATTTTTGTCTTACATGGTTGTTTTTTTTTTCCAACATTTTTTCACACTGAAAGCAATCTTTGACGGTCCTCACCACCCACCAGTCTTTGACGCAACTGCCTTTCAGCAAGGCCTCGGCGTGGTGGGTCCAGCACCAGAACCTCAACACAATTCAACACACATGGGAAACCACAAGTTTATGTCCGAACAGTCGATCAGTCCTCTGGATGGGTGCGCGTACATATTAACCAGTAGACTCTACAGTATCGGTGTCGTATGCACTCGAAAATCAAGGAAAATTGTCAACGCATGTGCAGGTATAAGTACGACCCGTATTAATGATTAATGTAAATGCGTGTTGAATGCCCTAACATACGGGGGCATGCATTAAATGCACAAAAGCCAACTATTCCTGTGGGTTGATCATGTTAACCACCAACTGACTCTCTACTCGTGTTCCTTCACTGTGGACACAATAAGAACAAATGACTTTACTTCGAGTGATCTCCACCCTGCGAGGCAATTTGGAAGAAGGAAGGGCACATGTTGTGGTTGATTCATCAATATTCTTTCATCCTGGAATGGCCACTCTTCGCGGAAACAAACATCTTTCGCGGCCTCATCGCGAAGCATGGTCCTAGCTAACATGAGCCCGAACATGTCATAGTATCACAAAATAGGGACAGACATCTTGCAGCATGACCCCAGCAGAAGGTTGAAAGTTTCCACAGCTACTCAGGCTCACTCGCAGCATCTGTGCCAAATAGAATCAGGCGCAACTCAACCCAATCCTGGTGCCAGTTACCAACACAGGGTGATGCAGCTTGGAGAATGTTGGGGGCAAGCTGGGAACCTGGACTTTAGCGGCGCATTCCCGAAATGTTCGCGGATCTTTCGCGAAATTTATCGAAATTTCACTGTCGCTTTCCCCGGGGAGCCGTGACATTTGCAAACATCTGCGCGTCAGAGCAGCTGCAGGTCGACGCCTCACTGTCAGGGCTGCGCCTGCTCAGGTTGCTAGTCAGTTCGTCAGTCTGTGACAAAGGGACATGCGGGGACACTTCCACCATCGGCTCTGCCGGAGGATTGCCTTGTATTTCTATTCTTTGTCAGTTGGTAGAAAGGAAAGCATATGAAAGCGATGACCTTCGATAAATCTGTCGCGGAAAAAAGCTGCTTGCGCGAACCTCATTGCGAATCTTTCGCGGATGGTTTTAACAACATCTGAAAGGCTGTTAATACAGAAACTCCTTACACAGGCTTTTAGATCAACTCCTACGTGTTGACACACAATCCGGAAAAACGTGGCCTGACATGTGCACTCTCTCTATTGCAAGGCACATAGACTTTTTATTTTCGTAAGAATGCAGCGTTTTGCAATTTCCTCCGCGAAAATACATAGGTTGGTTGAGGGTGTGGCGAAAGGGGATTGAAGCGGACTTGGACCGGTTTCTGGCCGGCAAACAAGCTTGTGAACGGGCTTGGACATAGACTTTCTACTGGCGTCAGGGCGTTCCCCTTCACCACAGCCTTAACCAATATTTCCATGCGGAAAATCTTCTCCCGGAGACTCGCTCACTCCCAAACGTTGCTTTCTGACGCGTATGTCTTGATGCCGGTCTCAAGTTCACTTCAACAGCCTTTGAGCGTGCCTTGGGAAAATGCCCGTCGCTGCCGAACGTTGCTTTCTGACGCCAATAAAACATTTATGTCCAAAGTCCCTCTCCCCTTAACGCATCTTGACGTTGCAATCTATTCACACCGCTTCGCGGTCGAAGCCGCCCGCGCAGAGAAAAAGGACAAACATCCATCCATGCATACACGCACTATACACGCAAACATACATCCAAACATGGATGGGCAAAGTGTGTAATTAGCACCCTACCAGCTCGGCAAACATTGTGCTCTTGAAGCCGGGAGGACATGCTAACCGGCTCAAGCGTGAAGAAGCGTTTCGCTATGGCCCTATCTAATCACCAGCCTTTTCACAGAGGGTTCTGTCGGTGCGTCTGTCTCGGTCTGTCAATCTGTCGGTCTGTCTCGGTCGGGGAGGACGCGCGATGTCAATGGTCTGTCTCGGCCTGTCTCTGTCTCGGTCGGTCTGTCAGTCTGTGTCTTGGGCAGGACACACGGCCGAACACACCCACGATGTCAATAATGCAGTGTCCACAGTTTGTACATGTGTTCGCGATGTCAATAATGCGATCTCCACCGGCTGGCGCGACCAGCATCGCGAACGTTTCGTTTGGTCTCAACTTTGATCAATTTTCAGAAAGCAATGCAAAACACAGCATTTCCTATCCAAAAATGGCCCCCCATAGCGAATGGTAGATGAATCCGCCAGCCCCAAAACCGGTCTGTCTTGGCATTTCTAGTCTTCTGACATTCTCGACGGCGTGAAATTTATCCCTGCCCACACTGGGCTGGAGCTCTGTTTATGGTGGGCAGGCCTAGTTCAATGCTGCGCAGGCCTGTGCGTGCCCCGACTGACTCGATGGTGTGCAGGCCTAGTCTGGCAGCCGCGCGAGCCCGCGCACCAGAGAGAGAGCCAGCCTCCATGCCTGCTTGTGATCACAGTAAGTGGGTGGATAGACCTACGATGATTATGGGATTCTGTACTTGGGTAGATTCTCTGACATCTTGGTTGTCAACGATGGCCCCTGTTTAGCTGTGAAAGAGGTTCTTCGGCAGACCACCCCTTGTGATTGGTCCAAGTACAGTAGTGACAAGAAGGAAAGAGCACAGCGCTTGTACTTTGTTCTTCGGCAGAGTTTAGCGAGTTTTCCGAAAGCCATGTCCCTGTTTCGTATCTACGATCTTAGCAAGGCAAATACGAATGGTTTTGAGGTGCTACGTCTGCTTAAAGAAGAGTGTGGGCTAGCAACTAGAGCAGAGGCACTCTTTTTCTGTGAGTGTGCTCTCAACTTCCGTGTTTCTTCGAAGCTCGGATCACTGAGGGATTTCATCACCAGGTTGGAAGCTGAGTTGTTGTTACAACAGGATCCTAGAGGCTGCAAAGGACCCCACCTTGTTTGCAGACCTGACCATTCGGGAGCCAGACTTGTATAGATGGCTTCTGTTAAATCTTACAGAGGAAGCACCAGTCTGGTGCGTACGGAACTCACCACATAATGCTGCGCGTGTTCTCTCTATGATCTCTATGGTGTGCTGGCACTGTGACATTATGACATGGCAGGAGGAGCAGAGAGGCCAAAGGACGGAGTACGATGGCGGAGTAGCACCTTTGTTGTAGAGACCCTCACCTGGCAGGTGGGAAACAATCTTGAAGTCAAGGGTAGAATCCGCTCTGGCAGCAACAGCTATATTGCGGCTAGTGTGCATTGGTGTCATTCAAGTACTTTCAGATACTTTAAGTGTGCAGTCGCAGAATCTTGTCGCTTTCGAAAGCGCAACTATGGTCCATGGTTGCTTGATACGCAGCACTCCACAGGCAAACGCCACTTCCCTGACCAATGCGCTCAGGTTGAAGGGCGGGTAGCATTTGCTCCGTCGGGCATGGACGACAGTGCCTGGCAAAGAAATCAAACGCGCGTGCAGCAAACATCTCAGAACTTCATTGCAACATTGACCTGTTTGAAAATAGTTCCTATAGTTGTTCCTAGTGTCATGCTTAGAACTGGAGAGCTTTTGCGCAATTGACGCAGGCATCGCAACGTGCAAACACCATCTCTCCTCCGATGCTGAGCATGCTGAGAATTTCACATCTGCGGAGGTCGGACCATCCTCCCAAGATCGGCCCAAGAGAGGCGCCAAACGAGCCAATGCACAAAGAAACTTGGAGTGATGGCCTCCAACCTAATAGCGGTGGCCTCCAACCAAAAAGAAACTGCATTCGTTCTTGGTTTGACATTGGTATTCCGCGTTATGAGAAAAACAGCAAGAACCCTGGCAACCGGCGCCAAAGCGGTGACATAACGAATACTGTGTAGCGCAAGCGCTCAGAACCAGTATCAACTTATTTCTCACATTGACCAACACTTACCCCACTGCCATTGACTGCAGCCCGCAGGAATGCCTCAGGGAAAATTCGACTGGCATTCTCCTTGAACAGTTCAGCACCTAGGCAGCAGCACAAGTAACAATGTATCTTGAGTCTTGAAATTATGCCCTCTGATGCTGCTGTGCTGAGTTGGGTATACGGTATACCGGTATACCAACTGGGTTGCCTTCATCATGCTATGGTGGTCTCCTCAAGCAAAACACCGAGAGTACCCAAACTCTCAATTATATATCTCAGCTGTCTCAGCTAGTCTTCCAAACATGTCTACTACTTCAATCAGTGAACTTCCACAATATGTCAAAACAATCTGTTGGAACAAAGAGTCAAAGCGTCAGGTCCTATTGACTCCCATTGTCTTATTACGCTATCATTGAGCACGAGACGGCCTACAATTGCTGCTTTTGCAGCTTCTAATGACCTCTTTTCTGTCAAAACCCCAGCATGTGCGGCGACTAAGCGCCTTGAGCGCCAGCCTAAACCCCGACAGGTTCAAAAAGGCTTGCTGCTCAAGCCAAATGACCGTGTTCATCACATACTTCAGAACTGAAAAAGTTTGAACAATAAAAAGACATCAAAGTTAGCAAATCATTGCCGTTCTTCCAAACGGTCTGTTCCTCCAAGATCAAGCAGTGCAAAACAGTTCCTGAAAATCGCGCCAGCACCTGAAGGAATCCGTTTTTCAATCGATTTGACGTGTTTTGGCCCGCTTCTAAACTACTTAACTTATTGAGTGCGGTCTTGCTGTCCTGCGCTCTCTTCAGGGCTTGCTCTTAGATTAGGAAAGTCAAATTACTTTGCGGCCTTTCCACCACATACCAGTTGCATCAGGCTCGTAGCAAAAAAATGCAAATCCTGTCACATTGTACACCTTCCTGTCATGGTTTAAATCAAACAGCATCAAACAGCTGAGCACCCAAAAGAACTGCGAGCGGTTCTCTGCCATCTGCCACCTTTCTTCCGCAACATGGCACAATTTGGGTTCACGTCGGTGCTCACGAGGGTGACGTTCCCGACCTCCTGCAGGTCCCGACATGTCCAGCACCGGGACCCTGAGCAATCCTGTTGAGAGTCCCAAAAGAAAACATCGTGAAACACCAATAGAAAACATAGGAAGAGACACCAAGGGATCTAGAAGTTTCACAGAAGCCTTTGACAACTCAAGTCTCTGGCATCCCACCTTGGAATTCGCTGCTGCGTGGGCCAAACTCAAGCCTATCACTCCAACACCACTGCAAAGCTCCTGGCTCGTGAGAGCTAACACGACGGTTGTCCAAGTGTCCAACCATGACTTCCAACCTCTCCCTTGAGGCAAATCGCTACTAGGAGCAAGAACGCTAGTAGGGGCTCCTGGCCGTACTACTAGGAGCAAGAAGCTACTAGGAGCATTTCGGGCATCGCTACGAACGGAGCAAGAACGCTCCAGTTTCAATGATCTTTCTTCGGCATGGTCGACCTACGGCTCGGTCGGTCGGATCCGAGGCTCCAGGATGTGAACTTGTTCTCCATGTCCAAAACGTTGACCTAGGAGGTAGATCCCGGGTCTAACGAGCGTGTGTCTGTGAGATGGGTAGATAGGTGTGTCATCAATACTCAAGCTCAAACCAAACGAATTGGCAGTGAATTCAGGCACCAAACTTCTGTCGCAAATCTACGAGAACGACGAGAACTCTGCTGGGACGGCTTGGACTTCGTTCCTCTTTCTATCACAAGATGTTGCGTTTCAATTACAACAAACTATGTCAATATCTCCAACAATCGGCCAAAGCCACTCAAAGTCTCAAGGAGCATCTCTTTCATGTCCTGGAGTGCATTTCAGTCTTGTCCACCAGTGTTGAACATCACAAACAACATCAAACAACTATTAACAATGATTGCTACGATTTTGGCGCCTTGCGAAAACTTCTCAAGAAGATTTGAACAAATATGATTGCACCATGAGGACTCAAATGTTAGCTGCAAAAATTTGGCGAAACGCTCTGCTAGACTGCAGGGTCATTGCTCAGCCGTGCTCCGCTTCAATTCTGCTGCATCGCATCGGTCTATGCGTCCGCAGACCAAGCCGAATGGCAAGTGCCCAAGGGCCGTCGCCTTGGTGACCTGTCTGGTCCCTTTGGATCCCTTCGGGTCCCTTAACACTTAAAGAATTCCACCTAGACAGCCAGGCAGTGTGGGAATGAACATGAACACATGCCCAGACTTCCATCAATGGACATGACTTCTCAAGAGAAGCTGGAGGCCCCAGGAAAACAGAAATGGAAGCGCTCCCATTCATTGAAAAGCAATCATTTGCCATTTCATGGCATTCGTTCAGCAGCAAATTATGCTATCGGCTCAGTCTGAGCCCATAGCAAAACGACACCTGAGTCACAATTGATCTCAAAGCACAGCCTGACAAGCTCAAGATCTCCGTCTTATGTGCAGGCTAAGGTGTACACGTTTGTCCGCTTCAGCATCATAAATAGACTCATATAGACTCTCACAGCTTGAGCACATGAGAGTACAAAAAGAACACAACTGAAGCTTTGTTGGTCAAGACGAGGCCTTGCACAATTTGTTGTTTGCAGCACTTGATGTGATTCGGAGAAGGTGTGAACCAGGGTGTCAAATGCACGCTAACTCCTGGCCCTAAAGGACATTAAAGGACCATTGTGAGCCTATGATGTAACATGTCATCTTTAAATTGGCTCTGCGTGGCGTCTACGCGGCTCAACCTGGATTTCACCAACAAACCCTTCATATATATAATATATAAATATATATTTATATTGATACAGTAGCTGATAGCAGCCTTCATGTGGCTAATTTTACGGTTAGATTTTGGCATATTTTGGCATACTGGGTTTGCTACCGCAGCTTAGGGCCTTGACAGGTGGCAACATCACTTTTTGTTGAGTCACTGTCGGTGCAAACGGTGTATATTTAGTAGAAAATTCATCCTGGACCCAGACATCAAACGACATCGCATCGACCTTGCAGCATCTCTGGTGTCTTGGTGCCACTACGCGATTCCATCAATTATGGGCTAGCAGTACCCCTGTTCAGCTTGAAGCGTTGCTTGCACCTTGATAGTTGAACTGGAGTTGATCCTAGTCTGGACTTCTCGATTTCAAAACCACTCTCACGCCAAGGGCTCAAAGGATCGCCTAGCTTAGCTAGGAATACTTTTGACCCCAGAGGTTACTATACCTCGACGGGTTTTTTTTCCTGCGCCATTCCGTGCTCTCCTGCGTGGCACCGCCGTGAGCGTACACGTAGGTCTAAGGCCAGGAAACTCATCCATCGTCTTCGAGTTCGTTCCTCCTGGACACTTTCGTTGGTGCTGCGTGATCGCCTGAACAAGGCCCTGCGTCTTTTGGCTACTCACCACTCTGTGCCTAGGTATCGTGAGCTGGAGGATATGTCATGGAACCAACAAGGACGATGGTCTCAGAAGACACAGAATTCGTGGAAAGGGAATTGGCAGAATGCCAAGTCGAAGCCGGTGGAAAAGCCGACAAACAAGTCAGAAGGTTTTCCAACCTACGATGGAGCAAAGGTCGACTTGGATGCCTTCCCTACTTTTACGCCTGTCTCATTGTCACAGCCAGCATTGGCCAGCTCAGCTTCGGATGGAGATCTCAAAGCCATCTTGAAGACCTACATGCAGCAGAATCCGGGCAAACTACCCAAGGAGCTCACAGAATTGGTCAAGCCGAAGGTGGTGACTGGATCGAGGCAGGCGATGCAGAAGCAGTTGAATTTGGTGAAGAAGCTCGATACCAAACTGCAAAAGAAAACAGATCATCTCGAGAACAAGAAGGCGTCGTGGATTACATGGAAGCAGACACTCAAGGCCTTCTATGCAGCCGAGTTCGAGCGCTACGAGAAGGATGTCAAGGGCCTCCAGGAAGAGATCGACAAGCTGCAGCTGGAAAGAAATGCCGAACAGAAGAAGTTGGACGAAGGGACTTTTCAAGATGTTGCCGATGCCGGCATGAAGGATCAGCTGTCAGACATGGAGGACGATCTCTTTGGCCCGGAAGAGCCTACACAAGTCCCTCCCAAGGTGATGGATGGCATGGCACATATCCTCAATGGAGCGCTTATGGAGCATTTGTCGGCGGAGATCCAAAATGGGATTGCCAAGCACTTCCAGACTATGGCGATGTCACCTCAAATGCCTCATCGCACCAGTGGATTGAGCGAGAGGTTCTCCGAAGAGGTGAAAGAGTCGGAGCCAGGGCAGCCAGAAGCCGGCAATGGCGAGACAATGATCTTGGAGTTGGACAAAGTCCTTCACTTCGAGCAAGACCTCAAGCAACAGCTGCAGTCGGCTTCACAGAGTGTGCTGGAGATGTTCAAGGAGGCGATTGTGGAGGACATGAAGCGATACCAAGGGCATCAAGATCGTATGAAGGAGCTTTTGGAAGATTTGAAGAGTCAAGAAGAGCATCAGAAGTCAATCAATTTGCCCCGCAGATCAGCCCTACAGCCATTTGGGGCGATGCCAATGCGGCAGAGATCACGTTCCAGGACTTCTCCATATGGAGACCGGGGCGGGAAGTCGGCAGCGACAGCGATGGGCGGACAGCCTGCCAATATGAATGCCCATTTGAAGAATGGCATCGATCAGATCGACTAGGATCTGTGCTGTCGCTTGATGCTTGGCTTGGGATTATGAGATACCCCTGTTTAAAGTGGGGGGGATCAGTGTTTAAATCTTTGGACTTTGGTCTGTGGCCAGTGCTTTCGGGACTGCATTGGTATGGAGCAAAAGCCATCTATGAGTACTTTGGCTACGACATGGCAGAATGCTGGAGTGATCTTCTTCAATGTGCTGGCATTCTTGTGTCTTGGGCCCTTTTTGCGACTGGACATGCCTTATTGGTTTGCCTTGAAGCAGTTTTGCTTTTCATGATGATCGCGTGTTTCAAAGGAAGATCATCATTTTGGTGTGAGCGGCGAATTTGTGGACGTGTGCATAGAGTTCATAGATATTGCCAAGATCCACCGCGAATCCGTGTGACGCTTTTCCTTTTCTGCATTATGGGACAACATGTCACGGCTGTCGCCCAACATCCTCCACATGCCTCCCATAAAGCAAACTCTTTTGCGGCTGACTTCCCTGAATATGATTCCAGACGGTCTGATGATTTGCATAGGAGTGTATCCTGGTATTTCGAACAGGCTGTCCTTTTCCCTTGGGAATCAATGCAGATGGGAGGTGTGCCTGACACTGCCCAATGTGAAGTGGAAGAGTTAGATGATGGGTCTTTGATGCAAACGTCAGGGACAACTCCTTCTTTCCTTCACCACCACGCCCGACTTTGGGACGATCTAGTGTATGCCTCAATTGCTAGAAGCAATTCAGCTGCACAAATCTCTGGACAAATTCCAAATCTAGCAGGCAGATCCACCTTTTGGCTCCTTCCTGGCGTTGCGGCAGGGACCTCTCCGATGCAAGTGGACGTTGACCTTCGGATGGAAGAGCCTAATTGGCAGCACAAGATTCTTGCAATTTGGAATGATCAACCTGATTCGGTGTGTTACCATGTTATACGGAGACCACTGATTTTGCCAGGGGAATTCCCGAGTCGACACAATCTGATTGGAACTAATGCGGAAGATCGCCAACATGGTTATCAAGCTGCTTTGGTCGACTTTACATATCGCAATGTGATGAGAAGAACGGCCTTGCGATATCCTATACTAGCGACTGTTGCTGAATGGGTGTACTTGCTAATTGGCCCACCTTTGCAGCCGCACCATCAAGTCCTGTCTGATTTCATGATCATCTGGAACGATGGGGAGCATGTGTACACCTTCTCCGCATTGGAGACACCTGAACTTCCTGATGGGGCCTATGTTCAACTTGTGGCACGGCATAGAGGTCGACAGATCATCCCATCAGATCTGCCATTCGAAGCTTGTGAACTGGATCAACTTTTCAGGAGTCTGGGTGAACAGGTTGCAGAGGTTTCTTTGATGCAGCAGAGCTTGTATCTGACACATCGCGAATCTCTGATGACCAGAATGGCGGAAGACTCAGTATATAGATTGCTGACTGGAGCAGAAGTGCTTCTCCAGATTCGCTTCACCCAAGGAGCAAAAGTCTCCTTCTGGATGCTGCAGGTTGATCGAGCTATGGTACAGTGGTATGAGACAAGGCTCTGGATCAGCTCCTTTACGGAGGATTGGACTGGTTTGGTCAAGCGCTCTTGTGGCTTTCCTCAAAACGCTGAGCCGGCCTTTTTGTTGGTGCTGCCCCGCTGCCCCGACCTCCAAGGCTGCGAGATGCACACACTCATGTGCATGTTTTGGCTCTCATTGACTCGCCGGAGTCTGACATGATGACGATTTTGGTGGATATATATGAGCCTAACTCTTTTGCTCGATGTGCAGTCACTGTCCCAACAGGAGCCACAGTCTCTGATATTGTCGCCATTATCTCCAAGAGCAGAGCACTCCACTTCTTTGATGCATCTCAGAAATTGAGGCTACATTGGAAAGCAGAGGAGCGTACGGTCTCTTTTGAAGGTGATGATGCTGTCTTTGTTCCGAATGGGGCTTTCGTGGAGATTCGAGCACAACCAAAACAGCAAGTCTGCCAGTCTTCATCTCACCTGTGGCCCTCGAGTGATGTCAGCTCTTTCATGCAGACTTCCCAGCAGCAGCACTCTGAGAAGTCCGGAGTGTGTCGATTGGAAGAGTACTCACTGACAAGAGGCATTTGTGTCGGAGAAAGCGAAGATGACGTGTTGAAACAATACATTACAGAATATTACCAGTTCGTCTACCACATGATTGCTGCACACACCTGG